AATTTACAGTTTGGCCTTTTGAGGTACATTTAAGCCCAACACGGGTGGCCAAAAACTATGTCTTGCTTAGTGTCTCGGGCCAGATGTCCCCAGGCACGGCACGGGCTGTGGCTGAACTTGGGCTGTAGAGGGGCCCCTACCAGGAGGTCCTAGGGCTAGCACGCCTGGTAGCCAGCTTCGGGCTGAGCACATCCTGGGGTCACATCCGAAGATGACATACCCAAAGGGCAGATTGGGCAGACATCGGAGCACTGCTAAAGCGAATCCTGCTCCGAAGGGTCAGCCCCTGCACAACAGCTCCTACACTGCAGCCACGGCCAGCCCTCACGACCAACCAGCCCGAGGGTCAATCCTTCCCACTGACGTGCAAATAGCAATCGAGGCTCAACTACAACAGGAAGGCACATAAACCCATAAAAGGGACACACCTGGAGCACCCAGGTCAGGTGACAAGAGAGTCTGCACCACTGGGCCCCACAGGACACCCACTCTATAAGGCCACCTACTCTATAAGGCCACTCTACTAAGACCAGGAGACAGAGCAGCCCTACCTAATACATAGAAACAAAAACAGGGAGGTAGCCAAAATGAGAAGACAAAGAAACATGTCCCAAATGAAAGACAGAATAAACCTCCAGAAAAAGAACTAAACAAATTGAAGATAAGCAATTCAGCGAAACACTGGTTATAAGGATGCTCAATGAACTTAGGGGAAAAGTAGATGAACTCAGTGAGAACTTTCATAAAGAGTTAGAAAACGTAAAGAACCAGTGAGAAATAAAGAATACAATAACTGAAATGAAGAATATCTTGGGAGGACTCAACAGTAGATTAGAAGAAGCAGAGGATCGAATCAGCAATTTAGAAGATAAGGTAGCAGAAAACATCTAATTAAAACAGCAACAAAAAAAAGAATCCAAAAAAATGAGGATGGTTTAAGGGGCCTCTGGGACAACATCAAGCATACCAACATTTGCATCAGAGGGGTACCAGAAGGAGAAGAGAGAGAGCAAGGAATTGAAAACCTATTTGAAGAAATAATGATGGAAGATTTCCCTAACCTGGCAAAGGAAATAGACATACAAACCCAGAAAGTGCAGAGAGTCCCAAACAAGATGAACCCAAAGAGACCTACACCAAGACACACAGTAATTAAAATGCCAAAGGTTAAAGACAAAGAGAATCTTAAAAGTAGCAAGAGAAAAGCATTAGTTACCTAAAAGGAAACTCCCATAAGACCGCCAGCCAATTTCTCAAGGGAAACATTGCAGGCCCGAAGGGATTGGCACGAAATATTTAGTGATAAGAAGCAAGACTAAGACTACAACTAAGACTACACTACCTAGCAAAGTTCTCATTTAGAATCAAAGGACAGATAAAGAGTTTTCCAGATAAGAAAATGCTAAAGGAGTTCGCCACCACCAAATCAGTATTACAAGAAACGTTAAAGGGACTTCTTTAAGTAGAAAAAGATAAAAAATATGAATAATAAAATATCAATACCTATACAATTAAAGTCATCAACAATTACTTTAAATGTAAACGGATTAAATGCTCCAATCGAAAGACATAGCGTGACTGAATGGATGTGGAAACAAGGCCCTTACATACACTTCCTGTGACAGACTTCAGGTCGAAAGTCACACACACAACACGAAAAGTAAAGAGATGAAAAAAGATATTTCATGAAAATGGAAACAAACAAACAAAAACGACTGGGGTGGCAATACTTATACCAGACAAAACAGACGTTAAAACAAAGGCTATTACAAGAGACAAAGAAGGACCCAATAATCCCACATCGGGGTATTTATCTGAAAAAACATAAAACACTAAATTGAAGGGACACGTGAATTCATATGTTCATTGCAGCATTATGTACAGTAGCCAAGATATGGAGGCAACCTGGGTGTCCATCAATGGATGAATAAAGAAGAGGTGGTCCATATATACAACGGAATTTTACTCAGCCATAAAAGTGGACAAAATCTTGCCATCTGCTACAACATGGATGGACTCAGAGAGTACTGTGTTGAGTAGAGTAAGTCAGAAAAAAAATGCCATAGAATTGCACTTACATGTGAAATCTAAAGAACGAAATAAACAAACAAACGAAACAGGAACAAACTCATAGATACAGAGAATGTTTGATGGTTGTCAGATGGGAGGAAGGTTGGCGTGTGGGTGGAGGGATTAAGAAGGACAAACTGGTAGTTATGAAATAGTCATGGGGATGGAAAATATAGCATAAGAAATATAATGAGCAATATTGCAGTAACTATGTGTGGCATTAGATGGGTACTAGATTTACCAGGGTGATCACTTTATAAGTTATATGAATATCTGATCACTATGTTGTAACCTGAAACATATCACATGCCAACTGTAATTAATACAGAAGGACAAACTGGTAGTTATGAAATAGTCATGGGGATGGAAAATATAGCATAAGAAATATAATGAGCAATATTGCAGTAACTACGTGTGGCATTAGATGGGTACTAGATTTACCAGGGTGATCACTTTATAAGTTATATGAATATCTGATCACTATGTTGTAACCTGAAACATATCACATGCCAACTGTAATTAATACATTAAAAATTATAAAAAAAAAAAAAAAGAACAGATATTTGTGATAGCAGGAAGAGATCGAGGGATATTTCTGATCTGATTAATTCTAACCTGATATACCAAGTTATAATTGTTAAGAGTCATTTATGGCTAATTTTGCCAATGATATATCTTGGGAGGCTAGTTATGTTGCTTCTGACTGTTTTTTCAAAAACCTCATTAATCTGGTGACTCTCACTTGGTAAGAAATATAATACACTATTTGGAAATGTTCCATTTTGCACAAGTAGCAATGTGGTTTCCTGATCTCGAACTTCTGAATGTAGCGTCCTATCATATAAAATGATTCCTATTTTGAAACCAGCATCACATTTACAGAACTCATAATGCATTTCATTACATCTGCTTGTTTAAATATTTATTTATTCTATTTTAGAACCGTGACTTTAAAAGGTATTTCACTCTGACAGTCCATAGATTCACTTACCATTCTCTTTACTAAGCTAATGACTACTCACATCCAAATCATCAGTTACCCAAGTCCATGCTCACTGAAACCCCAGCTACTAATGAGTGGTCACGTGGAGATCGATCTGCCACGTGTCCTTCGTGGAAAGAAAGACCACACTTCCTAATGTGATCAATAGCCACACCGCTGAGTCCTCAAGCATGAAAAGCAATTAGTGGATAAACGACATAGAACACTGTGGCTACTAGTGGAAATGATCCATTCAGATCATAAATGGGATGATGGTTAATTTTGTGTGTCAATCGGGCTAAGCCATGGGACCCAGATTTTGGTCAAACACCAATCTAGATGACTCTGTGAAGGTTTATTTTAGATGTGATTAACACTGAAGCAGCAGACTGAATGAAGCCGATTACCCTCCACAATGCGGTGGGCCTCGCCTGATCAGTTAGAGGCTGCGAGAGGAAAGACCGAGGTCCTCGAGGAAGGACTTCTGCCTCCAGAAGCCTCTGGACCCAAGACTGACGTACCAACTCCCACCTGGTCTCCAGCCACTCACTTCCCCAGGATTTCAGACTTAGCAGCCCCCATAAGCACACGAGCCAATTCCTTAAAACAGATCAATCAGTCAACCTCCCTGCCCCTCTCTCCCCTTCTGTGTGTGCGTGCACGCGTGTGTGTACGCATCCTACTGACTGTTTCTCTGGAGAACACCGACTAATGCAAATGGCTTAACATATCGTTATCTCTAGTGTGGAAGGAACTGTGGAGTAGCTCTGACCAGACTTCCCGTGTGTTTTTGTATCAGAAAAATAAACTGAAGGCTTTGTGGGACTGTCAGGTTCCACACTCCACCTGGATGTTGCTCCCTGACCAAGTGAATGTTCATGCTGTTGATATAAGAATGCCCTAACCTGCAGAGTACTTTTATAAGAGCCAAAACTGATGACAACTGTCAGGAAGCAAGATCTCGAACACTCTGAATGACAGTTTTGCAGTTTCTCTTATGCCTTTGGGATTAAGGAGGGAACATAGGAAGGTTACATGAAGGTGGAAGAAATCCAGGCAGGAGTTGGATTAGGGATAGTTAAGATTACTGCTCTCTTGAGGGTGGTTACGCCCTCAAGGGGTGTTACCTGTGGTGTGTCAAAGGTGCGCTAACCTAGGTGCAGAAGGACAACAGGAGGGGCTGGCTTCGAAACCTTTCACTGAAGAGGTTAAAGGCCTGGGGCGGGACCTGCCCAATTAGGAATTTATGGTTTGTTCCAGGCCCCTTTCTGTCCACTGTGTCCTAAGGAATGTGTCATGAGAAGTCTGATACACACAATTAGCATAATTCTCACCAAAAATCATTATGATCATGACCCCTGGAAAAATCTGACAAAATGAATAATGATAATATGATCAAATATGAACTTTCTCCTCTTCAAGCTGTTTAATCCAAAGTTTCCCCCTTTCAAAAACAACTTCCCAAGGTAATGCTTTGATTCGATCTCACGAGGCTGGCTTTCTGTTTCAACTATTACAACGTAAGAGTTTCATCAGGGAACCTATAATTACTCAATCAGACACTTGCGTCAAGGTAGAGAGTGCGCTACAGTTCAAGCCATGTCTTTGTGTCAAAAAAGCTTCTCCGCTTAGTTGGATTTCGAGAGGAATCAAGTGTTAGAAATCTCAGGAACTGAACAGGAAGTGAGAGGACCATTATCACCAGCCAAAGGGACCCACAGAAAGGCAAAGGGCGGGGACCACGAAGACGGCTCCTGCAGCGCTGCAGAAGTGTTCCAGAAGGGTTCCCGCTCTTGTCCACGTGAAGAGCAGGAAGTTCAAGCGTTTACGTGTAAGGAGCCACAGCACTAACAAACACAAGGGAGAACGACGCGGGTCTTACCGCGTCTTCAGACACCAGCATTTCAGAGACTGCGAGGGGAAGACGCGACTCAGGGGCGGGACTCACCGCGAAGTGGTGGCTCCTCCAATCAACAACGGGACCCTTATCGCTAATCTCTCCATTTCCTTGGCAACGAATATCATTTCATCCAGGGAAGGAGTGATGAGTCCCGACAGGCCAATTATATCTATTATTTAAAAAAAAGAAAAAAAAAGGACAGTGAGAAGGAGGATGAGAGAAAAGGAGGAAAAGTAGGAAAGCTCATTTTAAAAAGTTTGTAATAAAGACCACAAAACCTACTATGAATTCCCAATTTCTAATTCTAAGACATCGCCTTTGGGGTTTCAATTTATTGTTTGCTTTTGGTAATAAATATCATTTGTACCTTGCCTGGAAAGACCTGGAAAGCCGTGAAATAGAATATATTATTAATTTATGATTTCCCAGATTATAACATGTCACGATGTTCAAAGAAAAATAAAAAGCACACAGAGAAAAAACTTAACACAACACCTTCTCCCGGAAGGAGCCTGCTGTGCCCGTCCCCGGTCTGCAGAGCGATGAAGGAGTTTCAGGGTTCCCTGCTCACCTCTTCAATCCCCACTATAAAAAAAGCAGCCCCTACAGAGGACCTGGCGCCCGGTCATCTGAACGTCCCAGCGGTCCACCCCCCCGGCCTGGGGCAAACCAGCCCCTGCCAGACAGATGCAGGGGGTGCCCAGCACAGTCCCAAGGTACCTGCTTTGTGGTCAACAGCCGCCTTCAGTATCTTGTCGCAGGGAGTCATGACCCCCAAGTCAATAACTCTGAGGTACAGAAAGGAAAAGTGAGAGAAGTAATGAGAACTCGTTAGAGACGAAGCGGAAATGAGTATTTTTATTTAGCCGTCAGACGCTGCTCTGCTGTAAACTGGACCCGCACTGAAGCACTCACTGAGCACCAACTGTCTCAAGTACAACTACCACTTACTGAACACTTCGCTACGCCGGGCACTAAGCTACGCGTTTTTAAGCAGCTTTATTGATACGTAATTCACACAGCATAAAATTCACCCATTTAAAGTACATAATTCAATAGTTTTTGGTATATTGCACTATTATTTTTCAAAGCTCTGGTAAAATATATAATTTGCCCTTTTGACTATTTTTAAGTGTACAATTCAGTGGCACTAGTTACGATCAGACACAATGCTGGAGAACCGTCATCTCCACTATTTATTTTGAAAACTCTTCCAACACCCCAAATAGAAACTGTGGAATCACTCAGTAAAACCGCCCAGTCCCCCTCCTCCGGCCCCTGTAACCTCTACTCTGTGTTCTGTCTCTGTGAATTGTCTGCTCTAGATGTTTATGAGTGGAATCATACATTATTTGTCCTTCTGCGTCTGGCTTGCTTCACTCAGCGCAGGGGACATACCATATTTTACCGCTTCTTCCATCTGTCAGCGGACATTTGGGTTGTTTCTACCATGCTAAGATTTTGCATAAGCGATCTCATTTAACCCTAGCAGCAACTCAGTGATGGAGGCACTGCTATGGACTCCTTCTAATGAACAAGGGTCCAGAGGAGCTTAGGCCCAGAGAAGTTAAGCAACTCGTTAGTAGCAGAGTTAAGATCTGAATCAGAATCTGATGCTAAAACCCATTCTCTTACCCATTTAGCCTAATAAAAATGCTGGGGAAGTTCACTCAGTAAATATTTATTGAACCGTCTATACTGCATGGAAGCCAACAAGAAGGATAATCAATAAGAGGTCAGTTCCTGCCCACGGGAAGCTGACGATAAGGAGATCTGATTACTTAAGTCGAGGGAGGCTGAATCAGGGAGCAGTTCACTGACAGACGAGGGGAGACCCAAAGGAACAGCTGACGGGTGGGCACACCTGCCAGGCAGGGCAGGCACTGGCAGAGAGAGCCTGCGGTGTGCTCCGAGAGGGCAGAAGAATGCCCGAGGAACTCCAATGCACAGAGGAGGGCACCATCTGGAACTCAGAGGAAACAGGAATTCCTGCTCTGGAAAACGTTCTCGGTGCTACTCCTCCGTCTGGTTTCGGAGCAAGTACCCAGAAGGTCAGTCATTTCCACAACTGAATTTTATCATGAGTATTTGTTTAAAAGATGTTTTAAAAGATACAGCATGCGTTTTCACTTATTTCATAATGTCAACATTCTTAAAGTAGGCAAAATAATGTCAAATAAAAAAATCAATGCCTAACAACTTCTCCCTGACAATGTCACTTGGTAAAGGTGGGTGCCATGGGGCAGCAGGGCGCCTGGCTTCCCCGGTATGCCCTTTATACTGCTGATTCCTAGCGTGGTCCCACATTCCTTAAACATTTAAAATAGACTAGCGACATATGGGATCCAGCAAAAAGCAAGATGGGTTCAGACCGATGACAACCGCATCTGCTGGTCAGCACTGAATGCCACCGGCTTTAGTAACGCAGCACTGCGGGTCACAGCAGGACTGGGAGGGTCCACTCTTCTTTAGCATATTGAAAAAAGTCTGGCAACTGAATCTGATGTTAAATTATGACAAAATATAGATTACTGTACATAAAACTAAGCAACATATTGCTTTTAAATCAAGACAAAAAAGCATACATTTCCAAGTTGACTGTTTCCAACGGTGTATATATTTTTAACCCATTTGCCCTGAGAACAGTAGCCAGAGGCACTAGTGGTTACAGCGTTTACCCTGAGATGACTCGTGGATCACAGTCCTAACCTTGCCCCCAAAGTCGGCCACGAAATACCTCGCTTTTATTGTTATTTCTGTGTCATTCTAGTTATATCGACAGTCTTTGGAAAGAAATGACGTCATTCTATTTATAGCATTCTGTTTTTAGTAGTGGTATTTCCATTTACAAAATACAGTAATTCTCAATCGCTGAAAATGTCAAATCCTAGAAAATGCAGCATTCCTACACATGGTGTAAAATGAATGCTGGCAGCAAGTCATACATCTTTTTCTAAATGGGAAAAGGGTTAAAATTCGATTAAAATTGTCAGTCTGGTGGCAAGAATCCTCCTGCTCCCACTCCTTTCCCTCGTGCGAAGCAGCGTATCTGCCAGAGCATCTCGAGCACGCCCGCTTTGCTTGAGGAGGAGTCAGGAGACAGGAATGGGGTGGAGACTGGAGGCAGAGACGTCAGAGAGGGCAGAGAGGGCCTCTTAATGGTGACAATCAGTTCGATTTTCAAAATACTAAGTCTGAGATTCCTTAGCTATCCAAACGGAGCTCTTGGGGAGTCGACTGCACATGTAAGTCTGGAACTCAGGTGAGGGACGCATGCTGGAGACGAAGCTCGGGCCTCGTCAGCGTATGACATGGTGTTAAAGTCAGGAGGCGGGAAGAGATGACATAAGTCCGCCGAGGCCTCGCGACCCTAGTGGTCCTCCCTGGGCCAGCAGCCCCGACATCACCTGGGAGCTCAGGAGAAACGCGGAACCTCAAGTGCAGACCTCCTTCAATCAGATCTGACTTCTGGCAAGATCCCCAGGGGACCAACAGGCCCGATCCAGTCTGAAGCACTGGTGAGGGCCGAGCCCCGGGGCGCTCCTGCGCAGGGGCCGCAGAGAGGTCAGCGCGAGAGACGGTCAAATAAAAAAATCAATGCCTCACAACTGAGAACAGCGATTTCCAACCCCTGGCCTTGGGGACGGTCCTGTGCGTCACTGACGAGAGGAACATTTCCCACCTGTTTCTCTGCATAGAAAATGGCGCTGGGGTACTGATGGGAGGCTGCTTGCCGCCTCCAGTCTGGGGCTGAGGCTGCCCCAGCTCCGCCTCAAGGAAGAAGGAGGGCAGTTTCTCAGATCTGAGTGGAGAAACTGTTAACAAGTTCTGAATCAGAAAGCGGTGTGACAAGGGCTACCGTGGAGGCATTTACGGTATGCTGTGAGAGGCCGTCTCAACCGGATGGCAATTAGAAGTGTCCCAGAAGGGGGATACCTGAGGCGAATTTTGAAAAACTAAGGGTATTAGCTAGATGAAGGGGAAAAGACGGTGATCCAGACAGAGACCAGCACCACAAAGCAGCTGGCCCTGGGGACTCCGGAAGCCTGGCGAGGAGGGCGCGGGTCACACCCCCCCCGCCTCTGTGCTGCCACCACTCGGCCCGGCACGCCTTCCCCCGCTCAGCCCGCTACAGCTCCCTGTCTCCCCGACACGTGTCTCCACCTCCCCTGGCTTCCCCTGCGCCCCCCTCCTCCACTTCGAGCTATACCCATGTCCACAGGCCTTTGCTTACATTCTTATGTTTTGCCACATGAGAGAATAAAATGAATGTTATGAAAAAAATATTGATTTTGTAATCATCTTTCTAAAGTGCTTATAAAAGCTATAAACACAAGCATTTAATTCAGGCTTCTAATTCGGAAAAAAATGTAAGCCGCACTAAATACTTCAGCGGAGGCATCCAACGCTATTTAAGAATACACACAATTTAGAAAACGAATACCGTAATCAAGTGCCTTTTGCTTTCCAGGAGGAATGGTGGTTAGCAGGGGCTGGGGGCGGAGGAAACGAGATGGTGGTCAACGGCACAAACCTCCAGTCGGATGACTCGGTTCTGGAGACACGGCGCACAGCACTGCCGGTACACCTAACGATGCTTTGTCATGTAGTTGAAAGTCTATGAAATGTTCTCACCGCAAAAAGAACTGGTAATTGTGTGACGTCAGGTGTTAGCTAACGTTACCAAGGTAACCACGGTGCAACATATAAGTGTATCTAATCACCACCACCTTAAACTCACCCAATGTTATATGCCGATTATATCTCAATAACACTGGAACACTATACGTATACTATATAACACTATATATATGTACATGTGCACACGTGTGCACACCAAGCTGAAAGCCTCTGAGCATGTGAGGAGCGGGGCGGAGCTGGGCCGGGGCAGCCTGGATTTCGTCCTTTTCCTCACTCAGCTGAACACTGGAACAGGATTCGGTTCCGAAGTACTTCATGCTTAGCCACATACTGCTTATTTTTTTACTCATACTAGACAGTTATATTAAGAACCCCTGGTTAAAATATAAACATGCCTCATTATAATTTCACCAGATCCATAGTTTTTAAAGTACTAGATGTATGACATCTAATTTTAAAATTTTTGTTAATATATCCTATTTTTTCTTACATAATTTAACAGTGTGCTTACCTGTTATATGGGAAGTCGGTATTTTAAAGAGTAAATCTAAAATCTACTTTCGTGTAATCAATTATCTCATCAAAAATATTTTAAAACATTCTAAATTATTTCTTAAGAGAAATTTAACTAGAATATTAATATTAGACCTTACAGTTAAAGTTGTTTAATTTTACAACCGGAATAAATATTGGAAGGTAAACAGATGCAGACAGTCTCAGCTTTTGGAATCAGAAGCTCTGATTACGTCATGCCACTTGCTAACTGTGTGACCATGAATAAATTACTTAACTTCTCTAAGCCTCAGCTTTCTCATCTGTAAGATGAGAAATGCAATAATTGAGGCAGGCAGAACAGGATCAAAACCATAAAAAGAAAGGAAAAACCAAAACAAAAAAAGAAAAATAAAAAATCAGGAAGACACAAAAAAGAAAAATCAGTTCTATAAAAGCACTATACAAATCGTGAAGGGTAAACAAAAGTTAGCATTTGCAGACTCGGGGAGGATACATCCTCAGATCCACTCAAACTCTCAAGGTCACAAATCCTATTGCATTGTAAACAATAATGTAGACGGGGCCACTTTAAAATGGATCTGGAGCTGCCATCCCACAGGAACTGCCTTGTATGGCTTATGCCTCAAATCTCCGGAATGTTAAAACAGGGCAAAATAACCTTTGGACTGGGCCTAAGCAACCGTGTGCCCCGAAGAACTTTGCAAGGATAACTAAAATAGCAGATATGATGACTGGACTAAAAACTGACAACACCGTTTAGAACTAGCATCCTGTGTTTTCTGCACACAGAAATGC